AGATGCCACATGCAAGCAATGGGGGGGGGGGTGTTGATACACATCAAGATGGTGGCCTAAAATGATGTGCTCCATGATGGCAATGTTGTAGCTCCAATTCGTTCTGCTGGTTTCCTGTGGGACTTCAATCTGGCCCCTGACCTCTTCACTCACCCCTCAGTCCTCTTTTGAGTTGTAAAAATGCTCAGAACTCGGGCTTCCAGAGCACCTTTAATTTGTTTTTTAATGGGTTGGTCAACTGGTCAAGGTAGAGAGTGTGAAGCCCTGAAATTCATCAGCCCATGCCTGACTTAACAGAAGTAACTGAAAGTGCTACAGAAAGGACTTAGCTCTAGTGCTTCTGTAGCTTGCCTAAAAGGGAATTCCTTCCCAGTAGCAGCTGCTCCTAGGGAAGCCCCGCCTGCTCATTTCCTCTCTTCACATTATGTCCTTCGGGTATGTTACAGATCCCACTCAGATTCCTCACCGGTAAAGACTTTCCTAAGTCCCAGATCTTTAGCAGCATGTCTCCATTGGCTGCATCTCAGCTGCACCTAGCCAAATGGCCACTAGATGGGAGCCTGTAGATTTAAAAAATAAAGCCTAACACATTGATGCCATCTAGTGTTCAACAGGTCAAACAGTTGGATGGTACAATGGGGAAAAAATACAGTGTGTGGAACAACCAAAACATTGTGTACAGCAAGTGGAAGAGAACTTTCACATTGTGGATGATGCAAAGCAAGAATTTCAATTGAAGGAACTACTAATTATGGCCCTTAGAATATTGCACATTAGAGTTTTTCAGGTTAAAGATATATGGAGAGCAGTACAGCATGGACCTTTTTTGGGGACACAGTAATGACTCACTGTGGGGACGGCAAGGTTTAGGATGCCATGATTTCCTGCTAATTCAGAGAAAGGAGGGGAGTATGGCAAAGCAGCTGTGTGGATGTGGCAATGAGGCTGCTCAGGTGAGCATGAATTAAGTCCTACAAAGATTGAAGTAATTCAATATATTTAGCACTGAGAGGAGCAAGTGTTGAAAAAGGACTCCCTCAAGTCAAGCTTGGTTCTTGCTGATTGCAACCCTGAAGTTTTCTGGCAACATATCTGGATGTGATGTGTCATCATTTTCTTCTGGATTAAAAATAAATAAATTAAAACCTGCTTTTCAGCTTCTATAAGTGCTCTACATCCCAGTATAGCCAGGAGTCTTGATACATTGAATCTGGTTATTAAATTAACCCATCCTTTTTCTGGATTTGCATAACACGTGAAATAACTAAAGCCTGGGCTGAGCAACATATTAAACCACAAAAGAGCAATCAAGATTATAAATAATCAAGTTTAGCAAGCTGTGCAAATGTAGGCAGGAGGCCTCTGACTGACCCAGGAAAGTATGTTGTGCTATTTCCAAGTGATCTTCAAATGGAGCCCAACATAGAGCACATTGGAGTAAGTCAAATGGGTGGTGATAAGAACTTTAGGACATCTCAGTGGTTAGTGTCATCCTTCCAAAGGTAGGCAAGGTCAAGAAACAGGAGTTGCTAGGAGACTTTGTTTGTTTGTTTAAATATAGCTACCTATGGTATGACCATGACCCTGGGTGGCATGCAGAAGATTAAAACCAACAAAACATCATACAACAATAAAAACCTAAGATGATGATGATCATAATGCATAGTGTATGTCTGGGCCTAAAAAATCCAATATTAATCTGTACAGACCAAACAACCATATCCTTTAAAGCATGATAACAGAATCTGGAAAGCCTGTTAATGCTCCTTTCTACTTCAACTTACATCTAACATAATCAAGGACAAGTTGTGTTAAGTTTCTTTCTCATGCTTTCTACTTTCCCAGTAGACATCTTCTGAGATGTCCTTCCCAATTTTTCAGTCAAATCCGTATTCCATCACAGGCTAGGGTGCCCCACCAACTGGGCCATAATTAGCACACCACCCAAATTTGGGCAAAGATTCACTGGACACAGCCTCTGTTGGGCTATCAATAGCCATGAAATAGGAAAAACCCCAAGTTGCTACCTCCTTCTTTGAGGGGAGGAGCACCTCATTTTCAAGAGTTATTTATCTGATGGACCCGCACGGGTTCCAAAGGGAGCTGGGGGTTGTTCCTGAGGCCTTGCTGCATG